AGGGAAGTGCTATTGTCCCCATTTTAGAGATACGGCACGGAGGAACAGAGAAGCTCAGTGACTTGCACAAGGTCTCTCAAGAAGTTTGTGGCGTGGCAAGGAAATAGACTCAAGTCTCTTAGCTGCTAGGTTAATGCCCTAACCGCTGAACTATCGTTCCCCTCTCAAACATTCTTCCAGCTGTTGATGTGAGAACCTTCCCCTCTGTAGAAGAGAAGAATGAGCAGGGATTTGATAGCTGCTTTCAACTACCTGAAAGGGGGTTCCAAAGAGGATGGATCTAGACTGTTCTCAGTGATCTCTGATGACAGAACAAGGAGTAATGGTCTCAAGTTGCAGTGGGGAAGGTTTAGGTTGGATATTAGGAAACACTTTTTCACTAGGAGGGTGGTGAAGCACTGGAATGGGTTACCTAGGGAGGTGGTGAAATCTCCTTCCTTAGAGGTTTTTAAGGTTGGGCTTGACAAAGCTCTGGCTGGGATGATTTAGTTGGGGATTGGCCCTGCTTTGAGCAGGGGGTGGGACTAGATGACCTCTTGAGGTCCCTTCCAACGCTGATATTCTATGAGTCTATGCTGCTTTCACCATCTGGAACAAACCTCCAGTTCCTATCTCTTCAATTCTACAGTCAGCTACATTGTCCTTGCTAAGCACAGTATTCATGGAGTGGCACATAGAGAGAGGTAGTGCCTCATGTAGCCTTCAGTCAGGGTTTTGAGAATGAGGACTATAATCTTAAATTGCATGTAAGGAATGAGAAATTCATGCAATGCGCAGAATGTGAAAGTTGTGCTGAATCCTGCAAAGCCATAGTGATGAATCTATGCAATCATCAGCATATGCATAGCAGCACAGCATGAAGTCGGGAATACACAGAGTTTCAATTCAAGATGCAGCAAAAGTAAACGCTTCTTTCTGAAGAACAAAGGATCTTTTTTAAACAAATATCGTCAGAAGTATAAGAAGATGTAAATTTAGAAGATGTATACAGCAGGAACAGGGCAGATGTGGGAACAGACCATCCACACTCGTGGTAGCTCAATTGGGAATAAAAATAAGAACAAAGAACAGATCTGAACAACAGAGATGGCCACAATATAATACCACAAAGCCAAAACAGATGACAACACAACAGGAGTTTAGAATTACACTAGCAAATAAGAACCTAAGAATGGTCACACTGGGTCAGACCAATGGACCATCTAGCCCAGTATCCTATCTTCTGACAGTGGCCAATGCCAGATGCTTCAAAGGGAATGAACAGAACAGGGCATCATCCAGTGATCCATCTCCTGTCGTCTAGTCCCAGCATCTTGAGAATCAACACACAACAAGAAATGTCATTAATGCTTTTTGGGACTGACATAGAAGAGGTCTGATATTTCACATATCTTGGCAGCATTTTAAGCACAACACCGAAAACAAATTAAAGACGTTAAAGCCAGAATAGTGACAGCCAGACATGTCTATGTAACTCTAAAGCTGATATGGAGAAACAGAAATCTTGTCCTCCGAACTAAACTTTAAATATTTAACACCATTGTAAAGTCAGTTTTACTATATGATGCTGAAACTTGGAGACTTATTAAGACCTTACTGTCTAAACTCCAAGTTTTCATAAACAGCTGCCTTAGACAAATCCTCAATATCAGATGGCTAGGGAAAAAACACAAAGAACTCTGGAGGAGGGCAAAACAGAAACCGATAGGACAGGAGATTACAGAACAAAAATTGAGATGGTTAGGGCATACATGGAGGAAAGACCTGATTAACATAACAAGACAGACATTGGACTGGAACTCCTAAGGCAAAAGGCGACATGGTAGACCAAGACTAACAGGGAAATGCAGAACAGAAACAGAACTGAAAGCTATACAAAAATATGGGTAGATAGCTAAGATTGCAGCCAAGAGGGAAGGTCCTATGTTCTGCATAGACTAGAGAGGCATAAATGAGAGAAAGTTCTTCAGAAATCTATGGGGAAATACAGAAAATTAGTGGGAAAGTTAACGGCTTTTGCGATAGCTGATCTCTCTTTTGTTCCATTTTAAAAAATCCCTTTCTGTTTAATGTGAAATAAAAGGGATTGTAGCTCTAATCTTCTCCTGGAGAAGTCTGTTTCATTAAAATATACAAACAATAGCGATCAACAGCATTCACTTTAAATGCGTAGCTATAAAGCAGCCGTCAGTGAGAAGAATCACAGAGTCTCTCTGCACATATTATCATGTCTAGCAATAATGTATCAGAGACTGGAGTGCAGAGGCGGAGGTGCAGTTCTTTGGGGATTTAACAAATCTTCACCAGGAAATCCGAGACGTTAATGAGTATTTCTGCATTAACATGAAGATCTTTATAGACTTTGTGCTTTGTCTGCATCAGAGGATGTTTTTACTAAGGGCACATCTTCAGTAGAAATATAAATAATAAGCATTCTTCCGTGGATAAGCTGCAGCTGTAGGTTTTCACAATCAAGTTTTCTTCCAGGTACTATTCCTGTGTCTTTACCTTGGGATTTTGGTTCACTGGAATATTGAGAATTCAGTATGGGGGAGAGGTGATTGTTACCTTTTTCATGGATTCGTTGATTTTTAAGACCAGAAGGGACTATGCGGGAAGCAGCGTGGGCCGAGGGATGTGCTGGCTGCCGCTTCCTGCAACCCCCACTGGCCTGGAACGGCAAACCGCGGCCAGTGGGAGCCGCAATCGGCGAACCTGCGGACCCGGCAGGTAAACAAACCGGCCCGGCCCGCCAGGGGCTTTCTCTACACAAGCGGCGGCCCCAGTTTGAGAACCACTGAGCTAAACCAATTACAAATGGCTAATTTTAACAGCACAAGAGCCAGAAGTGATTGGGTGTGACTACATTTTAGTAGCTGGGATTATCTTGCTTATGGAATGGCCATCTGGTTTTGTCTCTAATGACCAATCAGCAGTTGTGGACTCTTTCCCCAATTGTACAATATGGGCCAGATCCCAGTCCATGGGATCCTTTCCATTGTCTTCAACAGGTTTTGGATCAGTCCTGTACTGATTAATTTAATGAACAGATACAGTTGAACTTCTGTGCCAGGGAAGATAATGGAGCAAGTAATTAAGGAAATCATCTGCAAACACTTGGAAGGTGGTAAGGTG